TAAACCTCTCAGGGTTAGTTTGCAGACAGGCGAGTGTTGTTTTGCTGCCTGCTGTGCTGTTGTGTAGGGTCAGCACATGGAAACACATCCCAGAATCGCAGACTCTCCATGCTGGGGATGGCCTGGGCCCTTCCCCTGCAGGATGAAGTAGTTTTTCAGTTGGGTTATGTGTTGTGTTCATAACTCTGCCTCTTTCTCTCCCTTCAAGACACTGATTTTTATTTTCACTAGCACGAAGTCCCTCGGTGCTACAGTTCATCCTGTAGCTGGTGCAGTGATGGTGCTTAATATCTGCCAGCATCAACCAGCAGGAGGTTTGTGTTTTAAACTCTACCCAGGTGGCTCTGGAGCCTGTGCTGAGCACGGGGAACACCAATCCCGAGGCCGTTGTGCTGCGACATCAGAGGGTCATAATCCATTAAACCACATCCTTGTCATTGCTGCTACTGCGGTCACTGAGCTGTTCAGATCCATGAGACCCCAAGGGGGATGCCCACAGCTGGCACCTGTGGCTTTGTGCAAAGGCTTTGTGGCATCTCCCTCAGGGTATCTAAAGGGTTGAGCAGGTAACGGGGCGGGGGGGGGGTTTGCAAAAAATATCCTTAAAATATTTTTAGCTGCAGTATTTTTATTCTCGTGTCCGATGCACTGTCGAATCAGCAGCTAAGAATTCATTTTCACCTGTTGTTGTGCCATCTATGTAAAAATTAGATCAAAGTTTGCTTTTCTATATTTAATCTGGGTGGACAGTATATTATTGTCAGCCTCTGTGGAACATTGGAACAATTGCAATGTCTGTGTTGCTCAATTGTGCTGTAGAAGGAGCATTAGCTTTAGCTGACTGATTGACTCCCAAAGTTTTATGGAAAGAGCACGTATGGAGTTTTTATAAACTTGGCAACTAGTTCCCAAAAGCCTGGGTCTTAAAAAGTTGTTTCAAAAATAGTGACAGTCATGTGTCGTAGCCTCCACACGTTTATTCCGCTGCCGTTATCCAGGGTAATGAACGAGGAATTTTTGTAGAATTTACCTTTGGCAAATGCTGAAGAACTAAAGATGTGACTGGTTTATAAAAACTCTGCTTGAATTTACTAATCCTGCCCAGCAGCGTGGACTGTACATCTATGAAATCTCATGACCCCCCAGCAAAAGTCTCTAATGCCCTTTCTTAACACCTGTAAATAGAGAAGAAACATATTTACTGATACTCAAAAGTTGTGTTTAATGCTGAGTATTTTTCAGAAGTTCATTTAGTTTGATGCATATTGTTCTTTGGTTTTTGTTTTCCTGCCTGAAATGTCAAAAGACCTAAAAAGAAGCCAAAATTCTATTTTAACATGATGATGTCGAGCACTTTTTTATTTGTATATGTGTGTGTATGTGTGTTTGAGCACTGATCTCGAGACTTCGGTGGCATCTCAGTGTTGTGATTTCATTGCCAGTGTAAAAGGTTCTGGTGTTGCCCATTCATTTCTGGAGACAGAATTCAACCAAATAAAGTGCTTCCATTTGAAAGCGAATATTGACCTTGTAGCAATGAAACAGAGTCATCTGCATATTTAAATAAACATTTAATTCCAGAAATACAGTTGCACTGGAGCCTTTTGATCAACCAGATTTGGTTTTGGTTTTTTTCTTTTAATTTCTTATTGTTTCCTACTGGAATTTTCAGGCATTTGAAGTATTAATTTGGCTCTGACTGTCCCACAGAGCCAGTTCATGTCAGGTCACTTTGGGACAATGATATTATCAAACTTTTACCTTTCCAGCTGGCACTGAGGAGAGAATGCAGTGGTTGGGTTGTTTTTTTAATCCGTCATCTGAGGAGAAAAACATTGTGGCTGGAGCTGGTGTTGGGAAGGGCAGGTGGTTTGTGCCTTTTCCCACTTTGGTAGGAATCCATGAGAACTGGAAAGCTGGGGAAAACTCAGCTGAGAGACTTGTACCATCTACAATTCCATTTTAACGTGCAGGGCTGGTGAGTAGCTGAGCTGTGTGTGTTTCTAGCTGAGACAAAACCCCCTCTGGCTTCTGCCCAGCTCCTCCATCACCCCTTTGTCCAGTTCACTGGAAACAGCCCATCCAGGGGCCACCAGGATTTGTGGTTGTCCCGTTCAGCAGGTGACACCTGGCTGGTCATTTTATCTGAGAAATAATCTGCAGATTATTTGGTTTTTCTAAGTTAAAATTGACTTTTTTTTTCTTTTTTTTTTTTCTCTCTTTTTTTAAGCAGGATTTCAGTTGTTCTTTGCCAGCACTAATTAACACCCTTGTCAGATCAGGACAAATCGGGGCTGTTTGTGACAGGCTGCTGGTCTTTGTGGTTTTGGGAAATAATGAGTAGGAGGGGGATGTCCCTCTGGTTCTGGCTTGGATTTATCTCTCACAGAATCAGCATTGCTGACTTGAAATAGAAACAGCACAACCAAAGGGGTGAGTGAGGGCTGGGGGGGCGGAAGCCAAGCTGAGCAATAAGGGAGAAGAAAATAAAATGAGCTTTTTGTGTCTGGGCTGTCACTGATGGGGGCGTGGGCAGGGGCTGGGTGTGCACTGGGAGGGTGTGCTGTGGCCCTGGGGGAGGGTGGGGAGGTCCCACCCAGCAAGGTGTGGCCTCGTGGGCTCAAGCAGGTGAAACTGCAGCGATGTGGGTGCTGCATCTCCAGAGGAAGAGCCAATTCCCCTTCCCAGGGGCTGAGGCAGGGCAGGTGAGAGTGTGGGGCACAGGGTTCATCATCTGTCACAGCTCTGTTCTGCTCAAGGGGAAGAGGAGCAGCACCTGTGAACTGAACTGGCACTCCCAGGGGCCTGCAGGGGGGGGAGCAGATAATCTGAGATTTGCTTCATCAGGCCAATGCATGAGCAGTTCTTTCATCTCCCCTTTTTTGCAATCAGCAAGGGACCTCGTCAAATAAGGGGAAAATGATTTGCAAAAAGAACTGATTCAGCATTGGCAGCAGCTCCCAGAGCCAGAGCTGCATCTGAGACGGGCTCAGAAAAGTTTTCTCCAGTGGAGTCGGAGGGAAGCGAGGCTGCAGTGGGATTTCAGATGGAATTTGGACACAGAACTGCTGACCCTTGGGGTGCTTGAACAGGCAGAGGGTAACACAAAGCACAGTTGTGGCTTTGCCAGAGCAGCCCTAGAGCTGTTTGGTCTGTAACAGTCCCCTGTGTGGGAGGGTGTTTGGTGTCTCCAGGAGCTGTTCAGCAGCTGCTCAGGTGACGGGTTGGGTTGTGAGATGCACGTTTTGACTCCACGTTGCTCAAGAACAAGCTGCATGTTCTTGTTAACCCAGCTCCAGCTGAGCCTGTGTCACTCACCACGTGGGCAGGGAACTCCTGCTCCTGCAGCCCCTCGGGCTGTTTTAGAAACTGTTTAATCCTCAGGGGTGACAGCCTGGCATTCCCCAGGGCCTTGGTGCCAGAGCTGCTGACGTGTGTGTTACCAAGGAAGGGGAATGGTATCAGCCAGGGACATTTTAGCCACAAAACAGTGACAGGAAACTCTCTTTTAGAATCCTAGAACAGCTCAATGAAACTCCTTCCCTTGCCAGTTACTTCCAGAATAGTAATGAATGTCATGACCAATCTGTGCTTCCTGAGGCCCGCTCAGGTGAAATGGGGTAAATGAAAGGTGAAGGGAGGTCTGTCCCCACCCCCAAGCTCCCTGGAGCTGTCAGTCCCCCTCACCAGGCAGGGCAGCAGCGTGTTGAATGCACAGGTATTTATTGTACCACATTTTCAGCACAAGGTCTAACACTTAAGCACAGGAGTGTCGTTACAGTCTGTACAGCACCCTCGGACAACACGGACATGCAGCCCTGCAGGCTCTGCAGCAGATCCCGGGGCTGCTGCAGTGGGGAACAAAGACAGCTTGGAACAATGAGAATCCCAACAGTGGCTCATTCTCTGACCTCCCCCTCGGGCCTGTCTGGGTCTATACAAGCATCCCATAAACAGGATTGTAAAACTAACATGCTGAACCGTTTACAGACAGTTTTTAAAGGAGCTGCCGTTTGCAGCAAATATTTGATCTTAATAAAAAAAAAAAAAAAATCTGAAGGCCACATTTTTCTTCTCAAGTTCTCCTGTCCTACCCCCTTCTATCTCTAAGTTAAGGAGCAGCCTTTCCCTCCCCCTCCCTCCCTCTCTTTTTCAGGTGAGGAGCTTGGGAGGTCCCAGCCCCAGGTGGAGTCTGGCACCATTAAGGCCAGACTGGATGCTGTGCAATCATCCAGCACCACGAAAACAGTTTGGTTCCTCAGGCCATGGGAGGCACCTCTTCCTTCTCTGCCTCCACTAAACCTCACTCAAAGCCTTGCAAAGATTTAACTCTTGCCTTTCTGCCTTACAAGATGAACGAAAATCTTTTTAAGAACAGCCCTGCTGAGAAAAGTGGGAGTTTGGCCTTGTTTGCCTTCGTTCCTGTCTCCTTTCTCCATCAGCTGCTCCTTGGCTGCACTGGTGGCAATAGATAGGGGAGCAAATTCATTAAATGAGCCACTGTATACACAAAGGACATCTGGAATGACCTCAGCACACAGGTAGGGGCTTGTTAGCAGGAAGCAGCTCATTCCTAAAAAGCTGCTTCCCCAGCCTGGGCCCTGCCCAGCCAGACCCTCTCCCCTCAGAATGGGCTCTGTGGGAACAGAGGAGCCCTTCCTCATCCTTCACACCCCCCCTGCTTGTCATGACAGATGTGGAGACACAGCTTATGGCAGGGTCACTCTGAGAACTGGGTTAGGAACAAGGAGTCCCAAAATCTGCATCGGAGCTGTGCTGTGTCCCAGTCCAGCCCAGCCCTCCTGGTACCACCCCGTGAGCTGCACCCTCAAAGGTTCCAGCCCACAGCTCCACAGTGCCAGGAGCCTCAGCAGGAAGAGTGCAGGGGGAATGAAGGTGGTGGGAGGGAGGACTCACCTTCCAGCTCTGTTCTCTGAAACTGTGCTGAACACGTGGAATCAGA